TTGCTTTAAACATTTCTCTAAGATGCAGATTCGCAATCACAGATACTGGGGGAAGATTAATAATTAGCCTAATTTACAGAGGAATCTAGAGTTGAGTCTAGAACATAATAAGTTGTTTAGCTTTGATATAAATTTCCAGAGTGAAAGAGGTACATCTCTCAATCAAAGCTTGAGCCCTGTGTCGATACACCGGCTGGAGCTACTGCCATCTGTTGAGGGGCATGCGAAATAGACATAAACGAGCTCTTTACCGTGAAGTTGAAAACCTCCAAGATAAGTGGATCCACTTTGCTTGGCTCCAGCTGCATCAACACAGAGCCGTGGTTTTCAGTGATGCATTGCAACTCTGTAAGATTGGTGAGAACTGAAGCTAGCTGAACTCGACCGCCTGAGAAGCCATGTTTGGCTTCTAGGTAGTGCTTCAGCAAAAGGATGTAACGGTCATGTACATTGGAAACCTAGTGGGATTGAAAAGAGAATTAACACCCAAGGCAAGTTTATCATGCATATTTATGATTATATTAGGTCTAGTGTCTTTGGTGAACCTAAGAGATCGGACATTTATCTCTTTGATATATTAAACGTATTAATACCACTCCTGGATTAAGCATTATAGGATTTCTAAGTTCATAGACGAGCAAAAAATTGATTAATAATGTAATATCACAAATTCATCATCAGGTAGCCGTATAGAGCGAGGCGAGAAATTTGAACATATTCGTGCTTTTCACCAACAAAATAGTTCGTTTCATCACATGGCATCCGTGGTTATTATCTAACACTCCATTTTTTCGAAGTAACGGTTATTATTGGATAAAACGTCGCCTTGAGTCGATTAATCGGATTTAAGGATTGATAGCTAAGATTTCTCACAATACAATGAGCAAGCCTTTCGATGCCATTTAACTTCCCCCAGCCTTGCTTCCTATAAGCGCTCTGGATCAGGTAGACAAATGGGGGGCAGGACCAAGTGAAAGACTGACATTTTGATGCTTACCCATCTCAGTAGATGGAACCTCAACTATCAGTCCTTAAATCAGCTTAAGTGAATTAACGAAGAAATGAAGACCAAAATTGCGTGGTTTTTTATATGGTCGCAGTCTCCTTTTGATGTATATAAGTGGGGTGGCCTCGTTTTTGCAATTTGGTTGTGCTTCCAGGGCGACTTAGTTGGACTCACCTTATCCGAAGTCCGCTGCTATAGTAGTTATAATAGTTTCCATTGTCGGACTGTGGACTTGGTAGATTCTCAAACGCTTCGCCGGCATTGTCGATAGGTCTTGAAATTCTCAGTACCAAAATACAACTTGTTAAAGACATGTTTCTTTGACCAAGTTGCGCAAAAAGGTCAGTCCACTTTTAAGCGATTAAAGTTGCTAAGTTCGCAATCAAAAAATACTGATAATGTTGAAGCCCACTTATGCCGAAAAGTATTTCCCATGATTAGTCTCACTAATTAGCTTCCAAGACTTGAATTCTCGATACTATTTACGTGGACGAAAGAAAGCCTGAAGGACATGTGAAGATCCTTCAATAAACTCGCTCAAAAGTCACACATGGAGAAGGCCAGCATATAGAAGCTAGTTGCCATGGAAGCGGATATACGAGAATTGTGGATAGAATGATGTACCCGGACTGACAAGTGTAGTACAATCGTTCGGCTAAAATTGAGTTAATGGATGCATTTCATTAGGCTATTTGATAAACTGTAGCCTGACACAAAGACTAAAGGTGACTTAATTCTTACCGGAATTTTTAACAAAAATTACTTATAAATGAAGACCAAGATTTTGTGGTCTATTTTGGGCGTAGTCTCCTTTCAATGTATAGAAGCAGTCGCAATTTGATCGTGTTGCCAAGGGGGGTTAAGAAGAATTCAAACATGATAATCAAGACAGCTTGTTGCAGTGGTTTAACCACATGGAAGGCGCCATGATTAAGCGCTGCATAGGCAAAACGCCAATAGATAATGTTGATTTTACGTCGGTCCTGTGACAGTCACCTTGTCTCTGGTTCAAATGTAGCAATAGTCCTGTAGATGAGGACTTTCGTTAGAGGATTTTGATCGGAGTAGACACTAGCTAAGCGCGTTCCTCATGTCTAAACGATTTCACTATCCTTCACATGGTATGTTTAGAAGTTGCACACGTTAGAGAAAGATAGTAGGCTAATTAACTAGAATGTCACGGTAAATGACACCAGGCTGCAGTTAAAACGAGCGCTTGGAACTTAACCTACATGATTCAGTAGGGTAAATTTCTGACTCGTAAAGGCGATGAATGAGTAATAGCCAGTCGCCACGAGTGAGATAGAGCTCGGGAAAAATCCGGTTTATGTATGATTTATTGCAGCTAATTGATGAATTATGGCATGGTGATGAGAGTGGCAAGCCTCACTAACGATTCCGGCGAAATGTATAGGAATGTCCTAAGTCCACGGTTAAACGCTGGGAATAATAATTCATGTAGCAGCTGGCATCGGAAAATATGCATCCAACTAAGTCGCCCTTGAAAAAAAATCAAATTCACGAGGAAGGTGAACGGTTACCTTTCCTGGATATTGAGGTGATTCGCTCTAATGGAACACTCAAGAGGAAAATGTTCAGAAAGAAGTCAGGATAATACTCGCTTTCCAGTTCCATCACAACTGCAGACTAGGAGCATGATCATCAGAGGCCTACGATTAAAGGATGTTGAATTCTGGGATGGAGAATTGGACAAATTGGCTAAGATATTCCTCGGCAACGAATATTCAAATAAAATTGTACAAAAAAACATACGGGCCATGAAAAGCCGATGACAGAACGGGGACTACTAAAGAACAGAGAGATTCACGAAGTGGATATGCCTACTTGCCTGCGAACTAACTAAAAATTACGACCGATACTAATTAAATTAAGCATTGAGGTGTTCAAAAAAGAAAAAAACAACACTTCACAAGTCTATCAACGCAAAATGAGAGGGCGGACAAATTGGATCATGATGAAAAAGTGGATTTCAATTAATTCCTTAGTAATATATTTTGACATGATTCTCAATTTAGAAAGGAAAGTTGGTAGGAATTAATTCGTGCGACTAGGGTTGCAGCCGACCACCTTAACTCTTAATTTAGTATATTTTTGCTCTATTTTGTGAAGTATGGACACCTGGTCGGATGATGTCTGTCACACTAGAGACGAAGGCCTAGCACAGTTTCATCTGGGTCGCAGGGCGGTGAGCCTAGGACTTCTTCGCACAATTCTACGGTCTTCCATACACGGCAATCCTACTTCGGTTTTAGATGAGACCACATCACGAATTCCTTTCTACCAGCTTTCCCTTCGAAATGGAGAGTCATGTTGCGACAAATTATATTGTTCAGGAGTTTAATTCATAGTATGCCACACAAGTAAAAAAAATATATTGGTAAAATAGGAAGAAATATCAAAATACAAATCAAGGAACATCGAAGGCTCTGCAAGAAAATGGATACCAAAAGTTCAGAATTAGCGGAACATATAGCACGGACTGAACACGAGATCAATTAGAAGGTAACAGAAAGAAGGGCCTCATATGGTAATAACACAAGGAAACGGAAGATTAGGGAGGCTATTGACACCCTTGGAGAAAGAAATATAATGGACAGGGGATTGCAAAAAGTCAGAGCTAGCGATAAATTTTCCTACTGTTTAAGCAAACTAAGGGAAAACTAGGATACGGCAAGACGAACAAAAAGGGGACACCTGTATAAAGGACCTATCGTTAATCAGAGGAAAAGGGGTCAGAAGGAAGGGTATAGGGAAACTAAGTGAATATGTCCGCAGTGAGTGAAGTGTGCAAGAAGAAAACACTAAAACGTTGGGGGCCTGGCGGTCCCGTAACTAGGGAGACGGATAAACAACTGTCACAGAAATTCAACATAATGGCCAAAATATACTAGAAATCTACCCGACATGCAGCAGGCGATTAGGGATAGGCGTCCACAGTTTGCTCAGGTTACACGAGTTTAATCAAGGCGACTACCCGTGAGGGCAATGCCCAATATCTGCAAGCATAGAAATCAGAGCCTATGTGCTCTCTTCGTTAAGGCGGCAGCGTATGTGCTTCTAGAACCTTGAGAAATAGCGTTTGGAGTAAAACGCACACTGGGACTGGAGCCGTGTGAAACTGGCAAACCAGAAAGATAAGAAACGGATCTACGGAACGATAATCGAAAGAGAGGGGGTGAATATCAAGTGTGATCAGGCCACATTAAATCTGTCAAAAAATGGCGCACATTTTGACGAGTGGAATGTAAACAAGTCAGAAGTTATAATAGGGCGGGATCGGATTAACTGATCAAAAGAGGTAGGAAAGGCGAACAGCAGGTGTAATCAGGCCACACCAAACTTGCAAAAAGGTCACATTTTTCGAGGAATGGAATGAATATGAGTCAGAAATTATAGTAGGGCGGGAGTTGGATAAAAGGATAAGGAGTAGATAGATGGGACATGACTGAAAGAGGAATTATAGCGCAACTGTTTGTTGAATGATTGACTTTATTTGTCTCTTTGACGAGTTGTAGCTTAGTGCTGAGAATGGCAAGACTAACTGATGATGCCGGCGAACCGCCCGAGAATGTACCAAGTCCACGGTATGACACTGGGGATTATCATAACCACTATGGCAGAGGACTTCGGACAATATGCGTCCAACTTATTCACTCTGAAAACAAGACCAACTTGCGAAAACGAAGTCAACCTACTCATATACGTAAAAAGGAGACTGAGACTTCCGAGGGACACATCTTGGTCTTCATATCTACCTTTTACTTAGTTTGGACTGGAGGATGCAACTGTTCGGTCAAGATTGCATCCGTTACACACTTTAGCTGCTGTCACTTCCCTTTTCACTAAACATTTAAGGAAAACACAGGATATCCCACCAAATCATGGGATGTCTCATTATGTGGACAAAGTTATGCTATAAGAAGAGATAGGCAGCCAGCCACCTTTCTTGTCTTAGTGTTTAAGTGAGTTATCGTTAAGCATGGTGTCCTGCTCTGACGATGTTTCTCATGACGGACGTAAGCTCAGCAAAGATTCATGAAGGTTGCAGGGGGGTGCGCCTCTTCAAATGAGATGAAGAGTATTCAAACATTCCTCTGTCTAATGAGAAGGACTAGGAGTATAATTTTCCCACGATTATATGAGTAGAGCTAACGTTTCCATTGAATTTCACATGGCCTCGCTTTCCCAAAAGTTGTTCTGCAGTTTCGATCTCGCATAAGTCTTATCAACACCCCCAGTGGGAGACGAACCGTGACAGTGCAACATATGAGCATGATACTTTAACCTCTCGACCACATTGACACGAGTGCCCTTTGGTCGCACGGCAGATGTGAATTTCACGGAAGGCCAGGTCTATTCCCATATCACATACTTTAGTGGGAGTGTCGATGTAGCAAACGTATTAATGCTATAACATTGGACTACGTTACTTATTTTTCGTATGTAAGTAGTTTCCTCTGTCTTGCCTACATAGTAATAGGACACCAAGTAGGAACAAGAAATTTAAAAGAACTAAAATGAGCTCACCGTTTGCCTTTGAGTGAGGGCAGGCCGATCAGGTGAGAATAGACAAAGGACTTGCAT